AATTTGGCTGCGTCGTAGGTCGAAAGGTGATTCCTTGAAGCCGCCGAGAGATCTGCTGATGATGGACGTTATAGGCTGCTGCAGCGCGTCGAATGCTCTTAAACTGGCCTGTACGATAGGCCTGAACTGCTAGAGTAAGCCTACCCTCTTGCTGAGTAAATATCACGTTCTGTTGTTGAGGCATTGTCTTTCGTACGTGAAGTTCGCGATGCCAAGAAAAAGTGGCACTCTCGGTGGGGTGGCACTCTCGGTGGTGGAATACGTTATATATAGAACCTTGCCTTGGAGAAGACGGAATTTCTTATATCCACGTATTTTAAGCTCCGCCCTCGCGCTTCGCATACTCGTCCTCCATCGCTTCTTCGTACCGTCTCTCGGCTTCGAGCTCGGCTTCTGTCTTTTGTGTATGACTGGCACTCGCTACGCTCTGCGTCGCTGCATTCTGCACGTCGTGCGCCGTCTGCGCCGATGCAGACGATTGTGTTGCCGACGCGCCTTGTTGGCTGGTTGTTGATGCTGAGGGCATGGGGACGGGCATTTTGTTTGATGGCGTTGATGAGGGATGCGAACTTTAGTTTGGTGTTTGCGGAACGAAGGAGTCTAGTTTATTGATTGCGGGTTGGAAAGGCGGTTGAGAGAGAGCGCTTGTGCGAAGTGCGCATGCATATATGCAAGATGAGGTGTTGCGTCATTGTGGCGGTGCATGTGTGGCGGTGGCGCGAAGCTTCTGGGCTGCGTGTGGTTTGCCACTGGCTTGGTGGCACATGATGGTGAGGAAGCTGTGGCATATGAAATCTTCGAGCCGAAAATGGGGTCTGTAGGGGTAGAATGAAAGCTGTAGGCCAATGCTCCAGATAGTATTGTTAGGTGAGTGTTGTCATAGCCACGCTCTAACTTCCATACTGTTGCTCTGCAGTATTGATCTTTTTTAATTACTTGTGGACATAATGCATTCGACATGGACCAGCAAAGCCATTTAGGATCTTAGGGATAGCTCACGATGAGAATAGTTCATATCGACTCATTTCTAATAGTCAGGTACGTGCTATGTTAGCAAACACGGTTCAGCAACGACAAACATATGAATCCAGATGCAAACAGATCGTTAGTCAAGTTCATATCTGGCGTACAACTCGTAATGAAAGGTAAAATCACCCTTCATAGTCTCTATTATGCTCGTCAGCGCGGATACTATATGTAATGACTATAATACCAGGATATACTTGCTCAGACTTGCCTTTTAAAACTAAACATCAGCGACTCCAAGTGCGCATAGGCCGACGCCATCTACAAGATAGTCTAACCCGAGGAACGCACTGGTGTCTCTACCGTTTGTTCTTGGTCTAATCATCGCAGGGGAAAGAAAGAACGCAACGAACCTTATTGACTAAGCACATGTGTGCCTTTTGTTTTACCCGTTTTCATCTTGGCTGTGCGAGCACCGAATTGAATTGCGCGCTTCTTCTCGGCAGCAACCTTTCTCATACCTAACTGCCATGCTAGCAGTCGAAGTGCCCGCTTTGCAGGCTCCAGGACTCGTACTGGGTCCTCGCTATCAGCTATTTGAGCCAAGTCAAAATCGCACTTGACAGTCACAGGAAGACGGAGGGCCAGTGCGATAAAGTCCTCGTCGAGGAACGGGAAGCGGACTTCTTTGCCGCTGTCACTGATGACACGATCATCTCGGCCTAGATTTCGCTTTCCCAGGCGACTAAAGTCGAGTTCCAGCTCCTCAATAAGACCAGGGTAACCGCGGCGGGCAAACGCCACCTCGTGTCGTTGGTAGCCGCCAAAAAGCTCATCGGCACCGAGCCCAGAAAGGAGCACGCGGGCAGTGGTGGTGTATGGCTCAACCGGGCCATTGTTCGTCAGGCGAACTGCCCCGCTACCACGTGAAGCGAAATAGAGTGCAAAGGCTATAGACAGGTCCATCTCAGTATTGTGAGGATGCATCAATGCCATGACATTGGGACGATGTCCCTGTGTGTCGACATAGGGCACGTTGATTTCTACAAATCGCCACTTACGACCCGGACAAGTCTCGACGAGCTCTGCATGCGACGACCTCCCAGTGATGCGATCAGGGCAGAGCTCGTACGGGCTGGTGCCGGGTTCGAGCTGCGAGTGGATGCGGGGATTCTCAAAAGCCACATTGAGAAGATCAATGGGTGCGCTTGACGGCAGGATTTCGTGGCATAAACGCGCGAGGATGGTGCAGTCAAGGCCGCCTGAAAACAAAACGGCCACACGTGCCTGATCTGGGGCATCCGTCTCTGCACCAAACACTGCCTCGCGGACATGCTGTGTACGAACTTGCACCGACTCGAACAGAGATGTTTTGAGTTGCTCTACTACGCCCAAGTCTAGAGTAGCACTGTTGGAAATGCCGCAGTTCATGAGAGGAAAGGGCAATGTCTAGAGGAGTTAGCAGAACCCACGGACGAGATCACTTACCTACGAAAGAGAGTTCCAGGTCGTTGCCCTGGTCCGAACGACGATGCGGTATCCGCTGATCAGGAAACGAAGGATTTGCCGCGTCTACGTCCGACAGGTTCATGACGTGTATGCCATCCGCATCGACTTCCGCCCAAGCCTCGCCATCCGCATTGTCGCAAACGCTGGACAAGACAATAGTGCCATCTGCAGCGTGCTTGCGAAGTAGCGACCGCCTGCCGAGACAATCGCGACCATAGTAAATGCGCTTGTTGGACGCATCATAGAAGACAAAAGCATACGGACCACGCACCGCCTCGAGCAGCTCGACGACCTTACGTGCACCAGTCCCACTTTTGCATGCACATGCCTCGAGCAGCTTGGCAAACATGAGCTGGGAGTCGTTGCCGCTGACAGCATGGCCAGCGATGCTCCAGGCTTCACCGTTCCAGCAGAGCACCGATCCAGTGGCCGCGTCCTGGAGAGGCTGCTGGACAATGTCGCTGCCGCGCAACGCAAGAAGGGTTGATAGGAACGTCGCGTGCACCCGAGTCGCAGTGTCTTGCATGCAAGCCGGGCCCAGTTCAATGGCGACGTGGGACTGGCCAGTGGCATCGGGCCCTCTGTTCTGGAGCAGCAGCTTGGTGCTATGGTCGGGCGCCACGTATCCGGCTGGGCTGAGCGAGAAGAAGATGCCGCACATTGCACAGGGGTGGGAGTGAGGAGGTCGCGATAGAGTTCGGGGGATTGGTGGTGGGCGGCGCACGTCTGCGACTCAAACGCGTTAGGCAACGCTTCGGCGGTTCGGCTTGTAGATGCCGGGAGCCATGCGGGCAACCGCCGCGGTGGTGCAGCAGACCCCGACCAAAACGGCCGTTGACAGGTATCCGCGCTGCTCGAGCTGTCTGAAGCTCTCCTGAATGTCCGTGGCAGCTTGATCGGGCCCCCAGCATCCCCTCACGTTCCCCCAGCGCAGCCGGTCTATGTCTCTCCCGAACGCTCCTCCGCAACCCGATGCAGTCCAAGCCACAGCCAGCGACGAGAAGCTAGACAAGGGCGACGAGCCGCACCATGTCGCCGCCCCAGCACACGACCAAGAGCCCCAGAGCGCGCAGTCTTGTGCACGCCACCAAGAAGCACCGGCCCAGGCGGCCACGGCGGGCGGGGCGGGGCAGCATGTCGAGCCCAAGGGGGACGCGATAGAGGGCCATGATGCATCCTCCAAAGAGCCAGCGACGACCACACACGACGCGCCCTCGGAAGCCACGCAGCTGTCCTCTGCCGAGCTGGTCGAACAGCTGGTGGCCAAGACGGAGCAGCTGGCAACAGACCGCCCGGCAACGACACCACCACCCCACGAGCCCAGCGAGAAAGCTGCAGGCAAGGCGGCCCTACGATCACCGTCGCCCCCGCCCCCGCCCCCAAAAGACGACAAGTATCTTTCAACAAGCAACGTGCCCAGCCGCGCCACGTCGCCCATGTCCCAGGCACGTTCAAGTGGGGGCAACTCCGAGGACGCGGCGGCTGACGAGTATGGCACAAGCAACGACGGCACGGGCGATGCCGCAGACAACTCCCAGCCCGAGATCCAGAGCATCATGGACCAGTTCCAGGGCAATGCCGCGCCGGGGGAAGACGAGATCATGTCGCCGCGCCTAGAGATTGCCAATCCTCTCCTCGACTCCCCCGCGATCCCGTTCCCTCCACGCCGCTCAAGCCTCGCTCCTCCCGACAAACCCCTTCCTATACCGACCGACGATGCAGCCTCGCCAGAGTCTGTCCAGTCGCCGCCGCCCCGAACCTCATCATTGTACCGCGTTGGTACCGGCACATCTTTTCAAGAACCATCATCCTCTAGTGCACATGCTTCCCAATACAAGCCAGCCCGGCCGGCGCCAGAACCAGAACCAGACCTACCGTTTGACTTTCACAGATTCCTTGAGCAACTGCGCCACCGGACAGCGGACCCAGTCGCCAAGTTCCTGCGCTCGTTCCTTCTCGAATTTGGGAAGAAGCAGTGGATGGTGCATGAGCAGGTCAAGATCATCGGCGACTTTTTGGAATTTATAGCCAAGAAGATGGCTCAGTGCGAGGTATGGCGGACTGTATCAGACGCCGAGTTTGACAACGCTAGAGAAGGCATGGAGAAACTGGTCATGAACCGGCTTTACAACCAGACTTTCTCGCCAGCGATTCCACCGCCAGAGCCATCCTCGCCACGCAAAGGCCGCAGAAGACCCGAGCATATAGGGCCAGGACGGAGAGGCCAGCATCAGGAGGACGTAGAGCGCGACGAGGTCCTCGCGCAGAAAGTTCGTATCTACAAGTGGGTCAGGGAAGAGCATTTGGACATCAAACCTGTAGGCGAAAAGGGGAAGAAGTTTCTGAACCTCGCCCAACAAGAGCTACTGAAGATCAAAAGCTACCGGGCGCCCAGAGACAAGATCATCTGCATTCTGAACTGCTGCAAAGTTATTTTTGGCTATCTACGGACATCGAATTCAGACCAGTCGGCCGATGCCTTTGTACCGCTCCTCATCTACACCGTACTACAAGCGAACCCAGAACATCTCGTTTCCAATGTACAGTATATTCTCCGGTTCCGCAACCAGGAGAAGCTTGGTGGTGAGGCAGGCTACTACATCTCGTCGCTTATGGGTGCTGTACAGTTTATTGAAGGCTTGGACAAGACTTCACTAACGATAAGCGACGAAGAGTTTGAAAAGAATGTCGAAGCAGCCGTATCGGCCATTGCAGAGCGCCATGCAGCTCAGGAGGTCGACCCGTCCTCTTCTCAGCTACGCCCTAACACCTCCAGTCACAAGCGTGTGCCCTCACCACACTACCACCACATACCCGAGAAGACGACACCGCTACGGCCAGAGCTCACCCAGAGGAATTCAATGGAGGCCGAAACCGCCGGTCCACATCGCTCCACAAGCGTCAAGAACAATCCAGAAGCAGAACAACCTGAAGAAGAGAATGCAGCCGTCGCAGGCTTGCTCCGCACTATACAACGGCCCCTGAGCACCATCGGTCGCATCTTCTCCGACACAGACACCAACCAGTCATCTGGCCAAGCGTCTCCAGCAAAACCGCAAACACCTACCCGTGCAAAGACCGAGCAATCAGAGTCCCAGCAGGAGTACCACGAGGATCGGCAGCGCCAGAAGTTGGCGGCCGAAGATGCAGCCGTGCGACAGGCCTCTGCCGAGGCGGAGGAAATACGAAAGATCCAGCGCCAGGAACACAAGGTTGTTGTCGAGACACTGACGGGCATGTTTCCGCAGCTGGACAAGGATGTCATTGATGATGTGGTGCGGCAGAAGGAAGGACGGTAAGTTCAGCTCCTGCATCTGAATTACGAAACTATCGCTTACTTTGTTCTTGCAGAGTCGGTCTCGCGGTTGATGCATGTTTAGCGCTAGCGAATCCTTGATACAAGCCCGGAATTATAAATTCGGCTCGTTTTTTTTGGGGGGGGGGGGGGTAGATATTTGGCCTACAATGGATACATTTTCTCGACATAAAAAAAAGTTATTCGGCTCAGAACTTTGAGCGTCTTTGATCCATATCTTTGCTTTTTTTTGGAAGCTGATATGCTGACTGGTTTCCCTTTCCATAACTATTCTAAGATCGAGCAGCACATGTAGGTCACAGCTAGCTTGCTCCGCTGTCCCTGCGCAGACACGTCTGTTTGAATTCCTTCTCCAGCCCCAGCATGTTGAAGCGATCAATGTCCCAGCCACACGCCCTGCTCTCGCAGTGCAGCAACAGCGCACTCAGCTGGCCAAACGTCTTGCCGCAGTCCTGGCCACGGCAGAGAAACGGATGCAAGGCACCCTGGCTCATCCACTCCCACAACTCATGGATATCCACGCGGCCCGTCCGAATGTTGGCGTGCATGTCGAGATCCATGTACAGCGCCGAATACCACCACCTGCCGAGACAGCGCATGAGAAGCGCTGCGTCGCTGAGTTTGGGGCAGTTGCCCGACTCGAGGTGGTTGATGAGGCTGGAGTATTTGCGCATGGGGGCTTCGCAGCCCCAGCACGCCATGTTGGCGGAGCTATGCTTGGTCATGTGCTGACATGCTGTTAGTGCCATGTTGCCATCTCAGTGAGATGTAAAATGTCTACTTACAATGTGGAAATTGCCCTCGTGATATGTGTGAAAGCCACACTCTTCGCACAGAAAACAGTGCTTCATGTGGAACTCGAGCTGGGCTTTCCCGCTACACTGCTCCTTACATTGAGGACAGGAGATTGCAAATAGACAGGCCTCGTAGTGCTGATTCAGCTTGGTCAGGCTCGGGAGTATCTGCTTGCATCCTTGGCATTGGAAGTGGTCACGCCTCAGATGTTCCGTGAGCGCAGCTTGGTCTGGGCCGTCAAAGTCGCAGCCAGGTTGCAAGCAGTGTTTGTGCCCTGGTAGCTGTTTTTAGTGGTATTCCAGCAAACTCGCAGCAGATATGCATGCATCCGCTCACTTACGGTTAGTCTTCATCCAGTGCTCATCGCGCTCATCCTGGGTCCGAAAGCGGCGCTGACACACGCGACACCACGTGTGCTTCTCGGCCGTCTGCAAGTGCTGCTCCAACTCGCCCGACGTCCTAAATCCCAAGAGACATGTCAGGCAGACAAACTCGTGGCCGACGCTGTAGTTGTTCTCAAAGTGGTTCTTGAGGCCCCACGGGTCCTTGAAGGCCGAGAGACAAAGATTGCAGTATGTCTCGTGGCCGGACGAGTTGTCGACGTGGTTCTTGAGGCCGTTTCGGTCCTTGAATACACGCTTGCATAGGTTGCAGTAGTGCTGGTGGTTGGCTGATTGTTTGATGTGTGTGAGGAGCGCGGCCTTGTTGGGGAGTTTGAGTGAGCACACGCCGCACCAGTTTTCGTGGGGGTCGGAACCTTTGTCGTTGCTGTCGGTGGTGGAGCCAGAGGGAGTGCGTTTCCGACCTTCGCTGGGAGCTGGTTGGGCGGCAGCAGCTTTGGGCCGGTCTTTGGTGCCGTTCACAGGACGGCTGACTGGCTGGACGGGCGGTGCTGCTGTTGCGGCGCCTCGCTTCTTGACTTCCTCCCACGGAATCGAGTCGTCGGCAATCTGGTTTAGGAATGGGTTGTTGGCCAGGTCGACTGGGTCACTTGGCGCAGGAGCCGGTTTATCGTCTCCACTAGCGAAGACCGCATACCGGTTGTGGCCAGGCGGACCCATGTCCAGGCTGGTGGCGAGCGAGTTGAAAGCAAAGCGATGGTGGAGTGGAGTCCTGTTGGCTCTTGGTTGTTGCTGGTCGTGGTGGCTAGCGTGGGCATGCAAGCAGCCAACTAGGCAGCAAGCGCGTTGTCAGGTGACACCAAACGGATGGGAGCATGGAACGCCGTGGCACTGTAGAGAAGACAGAGAGACCAAACATCGTGGATGCTGGGGTGCCATGAGGGCGTGGGGGTTCAGTGGCGTGACGAGGGCTATTATGGGGAGACATATGGAAAGAGTGACGAAGGTGAACGGAAGGTGTGAGGGTGAAGGAGGATGATGTGGGATTGATGCATGGAACTGCATCAACCAAATCTATCTAGACCACGTGAATGCTAAGGTAGCCTAGATTTCACAAAGGCTCTGCGTCACTATCGGTAAGATGCTATTTGCCAGAGTTGATTGGGATGATCAAATGAAACCCCATCTCGTATCCTCACTATTCTGAATTATGACCCTGAAATCCTTTAGACTCCAGGTTCGGCAAAGTGTAGAGTCACGATGGTAGTCAAATGAAGATTTTAAGATCACCAGTCACCAACCACCTAAAGTCAAGTCGTGATCTCGCCAGAATCTTATCAGATCATGTTACATTTTCCCGTCGGCATACAAGGGTCTCGTCCACTCACGTAGCAGCCGATTCTACCATTTGGAGAAAATGTACCACAATTCGGCCAATGGCGTGTATGTAAATAAGCTATCTGCTGAACCATAGTTGGTCACCGCGCAACAATTATGCAGGCAGTTCCAGACTTTGCATTAAAGAAAGACTGCACTGCGGCTACAAATTGCGCATATTCCCCTGCACAATCCCGAAGGCACCAGCTACCAGATATCCCATCAACGATTCAAACTTCGAAGCCACTCGTCTTCCAGAACTCCAAGCCACTCGTCTTCCAAACTCGGACCTCTCGTCTTCCAAAACTCGCACCAACCATGACTTCGAAAGTCAAGATCCTCCTCCTCTTCCTCCTCGCACCTGTTTGTCTTGCCAACTACGAACATCCCAGGGTGTTCCTCAACACACCCTGTCGCAAGGCAAATGGAGTGCTCTGCCAATTCTACCACGGCAACCACGGCCCCTGGCACGATGAGACGCACCACCACCGTAGACAAGAAACGATCCCGCGTTGAGCATACATACATTGTAAGTCAGTAGCTTGCCGTAGTATGTACTTTACTAACTTGTTTTCATAGCTCAAGAACTTCGATTATCTGGTGAATGTCAAGCATGGGATTGGTTCAACGAGGAGCTGAGTTGGGACATGTTGCGGTGGTGAAGAGGCAGATTCAGTCTCCTTAAAACTCGCGCCTATCGTATTTACCGCCGCAAGGAAAGGCAAAGGTGGTGGTGTCAGTCACATGGGAATCGCGACTCGGTGCTCTGAGAAGGATTACGGTATTACGAAGGCTTCTGTGCGCCGAAGTAATTTCCGGCTATACTACGGCGTGTCGCATCAGCTCCGTCAATCCACTTGAACACCATGGCTGTTGGTCTGTCTTGTATTTAAATAAACATGAAGATGTCTGTCAAACAAGAATGAAAGGTGCAAATTGTTATGTTTTTGCGAAGTTGTGCTTTGCTATTCCATTCTCAACAGTCTACAGCCCACGGATCTGGTAAAGACACTGACAATGTACAGCCATAGCTGCTCTTTATAATCCCCCCCTGCCTTTTCGGGTGATCAACATCCTAGTGGTACATTGAAGATGAGTAAGACATTAAACTTGTTCCAGGATATCTAATCACCGTGCCCAGGAGATCCGAAACGCACATCAAAATACGTGCCAGGTAGATTGAAAATGGGGGGACTACTTAATCTCAGCTAGAGCCCTCCACATTCACCACCGCAATACCGGCAGTGAATGAGTATTTGGCGCTTTCAACAATGGCGCTTTCACGCACCCACAACGCCGCCGGCCAACGCAGTGCCCGGCTCACCGCGAGCGCAAGGACAGGTGAAAAGCTGTATTCACGCAGTACGTCAACTAGCTTGACGGTTGTTAAAGCGACTCAGCCCAGCGACTTCCAGAAAGCTTCAGCCCGCGTACAACAAACAGCCGCCTCAACAAGTCAGACATACGCGAGAGACCAAACACAAAGCCAGGTCCACAAAAAAGGTTCCGTGGTCCTTATATTCGATACGCAGCGAACTTCTAGGCGGGCATGTCGCATAGCAATATGCCCATGACGCAGCCTCTCCCTCGAAAGATCCTTCCGGTGCCGAAACCGAGACGCAGAGTTCAAAATGGAAAAGGTAATAGCAGAGCCGCTAGTTCGAGCAAGGTGGCAAAAGCGGGTTTGTCCATGGCGCAGGAACAGCGCTCGGGTTTGACTCCAGAAGAGATGGACCGCGCACAGGCTCTGGCGAACATCACGAACAACTACCAGCGGCCAGACAAGGACCTCATAGAAGCCATGGAAAAGCGAGGACGCCGCCAACCCACCATCACCAACACAAATACATCTTCAGCAACCGCCAAACATGGCTCCCCCACTGCGCCAGACCATCTTCCAGCATTCCCGCCGAATCCCGCAGCACCTTGCATGGCCCCGACACGCAACCGAGCCCGAAACCGCGGAGGCGACTGGGAAGACCGCGCTCGCCGATTAATTGAGCGCAACGACTTAAGTCTGGACCGCGACTGGTCGCGTCTGAGCTGGAAGCAAAAAGCCAATAACATTGCACGCCTGAAGCTGCTCAAAGACGACGGCTACGATATCCAGCCACTGCTGTGCAAGGGCGTAACCTCGGACCACATCATCGACGCTATCTTCGCGCATGGGAAGACGAGAACGCGGCGCCAGGCACAGGGTAGTCGTAGCAATACGGGTTATAACCGGGCGGCGAGTGAAGGATCCAGCAAATCCGTGTCCGAATTACCTGGAGACAAGGACGGAAATAGGATTTCTCAGTCTTGCAGCTCGAGCTTGCAACTGGGGATTACAAGGCCTGAGGAACTGGGCTGCATTGCACCGCCGGAAGAAAGTAGAGTGTATCCAACCACACCCCTCATACCGCAAAAGCGCAAGCACACTCACGAAGACGATTACGACTGTACCTGCGGCTTCTCACCCCGCAAACTAGCGCGCATACTCGCGCCGAGAGAAGTAGCGCGCGAAATACACGAGCAGGCGTATACCATGCTCAAGTGGAGGATTTGCAGGGTCATTTTCCGGGCAGCAAGGTTGGAAAGGCGTGGGTGGCGGGTTGAATCCAGCACTGGCACTGCCGAAGATGATGGCGGTGGCGGTGAGGTTGAGGCTGAAAAGACCTTGTCAGTCCCGAAATCACGATGCGTACCGTGTGCGGAGGCGAAAACAGCACGGCTGGTTTTTGTCGAGGTTGCGGGTGTGCGGCATTGGGGCGCTGGTCGAGATAAAGACGACGAGGACGGAGTGGGAGATGAACATGCAGATGAAGACCAAAGTGAAAACGGAAAAGAAGAAAAGGGTAACAGCGGAGAAGAAAGCGGGGTTGAAACCGGAAAGGATGAAGACAAAGCTTCAGCGATGAATCTCACTTCAACTGCCTTCGACCTGATAACACGAGAACTAAAATGTCTCTCGTACTGGTTCGACGCAGACACCACAACGTATCATATCCACGACCACGACCACGACCACGACGCCTCCAATTCGCACCACGAACTCTTCGATTCCAAGTACGACATCCGCTTATCGTGCGATACACAGCACCGCCACACAACAGTCCTAGAAGGCGAGTCTACAGCCCTGATTTCGCTGCTGAAGTATCTGCGTAGCCACGAGTTGTTTCATCTGGGGCGCTACAGCGTCGGCGATGTACACGCTGACGAAGACGGAGTCAGGGATGTACAGATGAAGATAGCGAGGAATGAGAGGGTGTCTGGCCATTTGAGTTGTGCGGCAGAGCGGGTGCTGGAGCGAGTAGAGCGTGTGCTTGAGGAAGGAAAAGAAGATGTCAAGGTAAAGGTTGCGGTGGTGAGACAGGAAGTCAAGTCTCGCGTCACTTGAGCGTCTTTTCAGAGCATGGTAAGGAGGACTCGAATGTCTTTTGAATATCGGTAGGTAGGTGGGTATTCGCCTCTATCCATATCTCACCTCGCCCGTACCCTCTCTAAACCAATCGTCGCTGGCAAGTCCCTCCTCGACACTCGCATAGTTGATAATGGTGCTCTTGGCCGTGGTATACGCATTATACGCATCGATGCCGTTCTCGCTGCCCACGCCTGAGCTCTTGATGCCGCCCCACGGCGAACTCGGGTCGTTGCGGTGATGCGTGTTGACCCAGCAAATGCCGCTTTCGATGTTTTCCGAGACGCGGAACGCCTGCGGTAGGTCCTGCGTCCAGATGGCGGCGCCGAGTCCGAATTCACTGTCATTTGCCAGCCGCAATGCTTCTTCCTCCGTGTCGAAGCCTACGACCACAATGACGGGGCCAAAAGCCTCTTCCCTCCATATGCGCGTGTCGACAATCTTTGTTGATTCGCTGTCGGTTAAGATCGTGGGTGGGTAAAAGTAACCCTTGGAAAAGTCGGTGGCGTCCAGTGAGGACTTGCCGTGCATGCGCTCTCCACCAGTTACTACGGTTACCCCGGCTGCCTTTGCGTCGTTAACCAGCGCCTCGACATTGCCCAGCTGCTTTGCGGATACGAGAGGCCCCATCATTGACTCGACGTTCTTCGGCGACCCCATTCTTTTTTTAATGCTCTGCATCTTGCCCCTGAGCTTTTCGACCACCTGCCCGAGGACGCTGTTTTGCACAATGATTCGCGTCGCGGCAACGCATGTCTGGCCGCTCGCGATAAAGCTAGCAAAGGCGATTCCGTTGACGGCAAGGTCCAGTTGTGCCTTTTCAAAAACAATTAGAGGCGCCTTGCCCCCTAGCTCGGCGGTATAGTGTGCAAGATTGCGCCCTGCAATGGCGCCAATAGCGCGTCCAGCTGGAGTGCCTCCAGTGACATCGACCTTTTTGATCAATGGATGCTCCACTAGAGCTTTGCCCGTGGTAATACCGTCGCCAGGCAGCACGTTGAAGACACCATCAGGCAGGCCCGCTTCTTTCATGAGCTTGCCCAGTTCAATGCTGGTGAGTGGAGTCAGCTCGCTGGGCTTCAAGACGATGCAGTTGCCAGCTGCCAGCGCAGGCGCTATCTTCTTGACAGCAATTAGCATGGGATGATTGAACGGCGTAATTTGCGCAACGACCCCGAGCGGCTTTCTGTCGACCCAGTTGTGCAGTTTACCGACGGTGGGCAGCACAGATCGCTCTTCGGTCCGGAGGAGAGCAGCATAGTATTTGAACCACTTGGTCAGGGTAGGGACCTGAGCGTTCATTTCACGAATAGCGCGGCCCGTCTGGTGGACCTCGAGCTGAATCAGTTGCGGGAGCTTTGCCGTCAGAAGCGCAGCGATACGATCCAGCATATCGGCGCGAATGTGGCGCGGCGCTTTGGCCCAGATTCCAGATTTGAAGACCCTGTGGGCGTTCTGAACGGCATCGTCGACATCCGTGGTGGATGCTGCATGGCAGTGAGCGAAGATCTCGCCTGTTGCGGGATCCTCGACGGCCAACCTGTCATGTCGTCAGCAAATGGTGCTTCGCCATGAATCAGTGTCTCGCCAACTGACTGCTCAGCTCGACCTTGTACCTCTTTCCCATCCACCCACATCATGTACGTGTCTGCTGCGTGGCTGGCCATGTTGTTGGAAGGCTGAGATAAGGTTTTGCAGCCAGTCAAGCGACAGAAGGATGGAACGATTGCCACAGTGCTAACGGAGGAGCCCGACGATGAGTGGAGCGTGATAAGTCAGCGGAAGCTTAGCGATTGGCTCCTCGCTGCAGCATCGCCGAGTTTACTACCCCACATCATCGTCAACTCTTGGCGAGGGATCAAATGTGTCTACAGAACATGAAACGCGCTAGTATACACTCTATTTGCTCGGCTGCTTCACACTTGCTGATTCTTCAGCTGTACTGTTATAGTTGAAATCATAAATTCTTTTATTTCGATAGCCTATGTCGCGCGAGCGACAGTAGCTTTGGACCTATTTTCCTAGCCTTTTCAGTTGCCCCTGGCATAATGACAGCTGCTGGAGTAAGATAATAGACGAAGCACTGATGATGTTTCTATAAATGTCGAGAAGCCGGCGTGGTAAGGGATATACAGCCATGCCTGCCACTCACTAGCCCTAGAATGTACAAAGAAATGCAAGCCATTCAACAAGGACAGGGCTATGCTGCCATGGAGTCGAGGCGATTCAGTCAAAATACTGCCAATTACACAAAGAAAAAAAAATTGGAAGCGCGAGGCTCGGTCATGGCTCACCTGGGCCGTCAAGTAAGTCCAAGTACACTCTTCCCCTTTTCATTACCCCTTCTATTCTCCATGACTCTCTTGACCTCGGCCTCGCCCTCTGCGCCGTGCGCTATCAGGAGCGCAATCAAGACGCTGCGCTCTCGGCTTTCGAGTCCGGGTGTTTTGAGCGCTGTCTGTAGCGGTGTTTGTCCAGCCGCTGATTCCGAGTTGACGTCTGCTCCTGCTTCTACCAAGTATCTTGCTATTGCCGACGCTCCCGGCGTCCTAATGGCAAGATGAAGGGGTGTTTCGCCGTGAAAATCCGGGATATCCAGTGAGTGGCCGAGTGAAGCAAGGTAGCGTACTGTTTCGAGCTGGCGGCCTAGCGTGGCGGCGTGTACGACCGAATAGTATGATGTTGGCGCGACATTTGTACGCGTAATATCCGCCCCAAAGTCCATTAGGAGGGGCAGTATTTCTGGCGTCATCTCGTACGCCACCCGCATGAAGAAAAACCCAAATTCAGGGTGCGCCGTCATGGGTGACGCACCCTCCCACATGACTCTTTCTACCTCGGCAGGCGTGGCCTCTGCAGGTATGTTGGCCAGAATGCGGTCGACTGCCTCTCTCTGCCGAGGCTCGAGCTCTTTTCGCTTTGCTTTCGACACGGCGATACGATCAGACGTAATCTTCTTATGGAAGATGGACACGTCGGAGCCGGATACGATGGAAGCGTATTTGGATGCATGTTTAGAGGCATAGGATGATGCGAGATTCAACCTGGTACTCGCTTTGCCTGACAAGTCAGTACACCAGCTATACGACTTCCTCAATCGCGATGGCTCTGGGGGGACCAGGGTCTGGGCCGAGGATGCACCGTCGTCGGTGAAGAAGGTACCGCGTGATGGGGTCGCGTCTCTCGAATCAGGGACTACAATTCGCAACACTGACGTCGAGTTCACGTGGGAACACGACAGCGGCTGGGCCTCTTCAAATGAAGGAACATTGGCGAGCCAAGTGCCAATGCTACTGTCATCTGCAATCGTAAGCGCCCAATTCTGGCCATTCGGGCTTATTCTGCCATTAGGACTCTTCCTGCCACTCCGGGGCGTCTCGCCAAGGGCCGGCTCTAGTGAATCTGGGCGGGGGATGACGGATCGCTTTGGCTGTGGCGGTGTTACGGGCGTGCCTTCTCTCGAACTAGCGGTGATGCACGACCGGAGTAAGCGAACTGCCTGGAGTAGGGGAGACAGCGTCTCTCGTGCTGTTTGATTGACGAAGATCTCTTCCGTATCTGTCCGCTTTGAAAGATCGTCGTTGTGTGTAAACAGACCGTTGACATAATTCTGGAGAGCCGAGTCCAGGGTGTGTGGGTGGCCGAATCTGCGATCTGGTCAGCATGGCGGTAGACGATGAGCTTCCCAAAGGGGAAAGGGTGCTATTTCTCACAGGCTGATGTAATCGAGGGCCAGCTCCAGGACCGCTCGCGAGGCGTCGAGGTCATGGCGCAGGTTCACCAGATGGCCATCGTTGAGGTCGCGCCAGTCCTGGGCTGGCTGTGCACTGCACGACAGCTTGAGAAACGTCTTTTGCAGACGGCCGCTGGTGTCGTCGCACGAGTCGATGATGCGGGACATGGCCTCGACGAGCGAGGGAGGCAGGTCGGCGGCCCGCTTGGAAAAGTCGTCCTGCGCCACGCCGAGGCCCGTCTTGATGATGAGCAGGTTGGTGTTGATGGCATTGAGGTCATGGCGGGCACGGCGGACTTTGCGCGCAAAGCTGCTGATGTCCGGGACAATCTGGTTTGGGCATTAGCGCAAGCAAAGGGCAGTGGACACACAGCAGCATGCGAAGCAGCTCTAACCTGGGCGATGGACGTGCCTAGCGCAGCGCATCGGGCGGCGACCGTACTCGGACGCGCCATCAAGTCGTCGTGGTGAAGGGGCGACACTGCGCGCGGGCGGGAGGGCAGACGGGGAATGGCGAGACGGCAGGGCGGAGGGTTAATCGTGGGAGTCTTGCGGCAGCGCCCGCCGTCGATGTAGGGTCGAGGGTGACGAGTTGGTCGGAGCTGACAGGCTGGTCTGGTCGGGCTGGTCACATTGTGCAGCGGCGGCGCGTAGGTACGGCACGGATCCCAGGCTCTTGCGTGCCCACGGAGGGGGCGGTGGGAAAGGAGACGACGAGGACGCAGAGACGCGGCCCGCCGGGCGTTGATGGGCGACGTTTTGCAGGCGGCAGTGGTGGTGGTGGGAATCGTGCTGGGGCGGCGGCGGGGGGTCGCGACAAGGTGAAGGCCGGGCTGGGGGGTGATACTTTTTCTTTCTTTTTCTCTGCTCTGATGGAGCAGCGCCGGGGACAGTCACTAAGGCAACGAACGAGTCACAGTAGTAATGCGTGGCCGGCATGGATGCACGGCTGGTGGGATTATGCCCGCTTGTCTCTACGAACCCCCTCCCCTCTGCCCTCGTCCCAGACGGTCAACGGCTGCGACGCCCGGCGGCGGCCTTGGCTGGGCGTGAAAGGGGATACACGCTAGGCCTGCCCGGGTCTAGCGTCGCGGGAAGCACACAGGGAGTCCCTGCAGGGGAAATGACGCCGAGCCTCCCCTCCTCCCCTCCTCCTCCTCCCTCGACTCAACCCCCCCGACTCCCCCCGTCCTTCCGATCTGCCGGCTAACAGGCCTTTGATTGCGCGACCACGACACGACCACACACCCCCCCCGTCCCTCGTATATCTCGACCTTCCCTGGTCCATCCTGCTGCGCCCGCAATCTGCCTCGCTGCTCAATCGACGATTCCGCATGGCAAAAAGGAAACATAGTCAAGCGGCGCCGGCTCGATGCCGTCTGCCTGGCCCGTGACGCGCACCTCGTCGCCTTGCTGCACCGCGACGTCTCGGAACGTGATGCGTCGCGCCGAGTGTCCATCGAGATAGACCGACGGCGCGTGGCCCAGCCGGTCCTCCATGTCGCCTGTCCACCTACCCACTGTCCGGTTCCCGATGTCCAGCTGGTACCTGGCTCTTCCGCCAATGACGTCCCAGAAGTTGACAGCCACGTCGTACTTGGCCGTCGCAAAAGTGACATTTGCCCTCGCCACGCCCGTTGTCTGGTTCGACGTCGTCACGATGCCTGCGAACCCCGACGCCGTCTCAAACGGACGCACGCGGTATGTCCGGTAGTTCTGCAGCGTCATGCTCTCGGCCTCGATGCGGTACGGGTGGTTGCCCACGCGCTTGGCCTCGTCGGGAATCTGCGAGAGGTTGAAGTAGAACTCGTTGATCGCGTCCCGCCACACGAGCGCGTGCCCGGCTTGGTAGATCTGCCGGAACAGCACATGCTCGAACCGCTCGTCGTCAATCTTACCTCTTAGCGACTCCCACTGGCCCACAAAAGCTTGGGCCGTCTCCGCCCCTTCATAATGCGCGTCGTAGAAATGCTGTATCACCGTCTTGCCCGACTTGAGCCGGTGCGTGTAGGGAACGTGGTGGAACCACAGCACCAGATTATCCGGTGTGAGCTCAATGTCCTCCCACACGCGTGCCACCTCTGGCGGATACTGGCCGGCATTTTTAGTGCCATTCTTCACTGTGCGGTCCATGCCAATGCTAAAGGCATCGGCGCGCGTCCACTGTCCCCAGCCGTTGTTATCCTGCGAGGCTGGGTTAGGCCCATAGTGCGTGTACAGGATATCCGTCAGCGTCTGGATCCCGAGGTTACCGCTGTAGTTTTCGTATGCAGGCCACGATTTCATAGACATGTCGGTAATGGTGTCAAGCACGTCTTGGTCGAATCCAAAGGTCAATCGGACCCAGTCCTGGAGAATGGCCTCCGACTCGCTCGACGCATCCCAGGCTAGCCGTCCAAAGGCATACAGGTTTGACATGGCCAGATGGCTACCCAGCCATGTCGTATTGGAGCCAACGCCAGAGACACCAGCGTATCCTCCCAGCGGTCGCTTGAACCGTTCGCCGGTAACAATATCCTTGACTTTTGATGGGCGGTTCTCGGCCCTCATGTCGAACTCGAGAATCTCCTTCCACTGCGGCGCGAGGTAGACCAAGTGGCAGTTCTGGCCAAGGTACTCAGGCGTAATCTGGAGCTCAATGGCTGTGCTAGTTTGGTGAAGCGCTGCAAACAGTGGCGATGGTGGTTCGCGGACCTGAAAGTCAATTGGTCCAAACTTTATCTGTACGACAACATTGTCATCAAACTTTCCGTCAAGATGCTGGAAAAACTCGAGCTGTGCATTCGCGCGGTCAGCATACCAATCCGACTCCTTGATGTGGTTGTCGTATACGAAAGCGCGGAACATGACTACGCCGCCGTGAGGCTTCGCCGCTCTGGCAAACATGTTTGCTCCATCCGCCAGCGTGCGGTTGTAAGTCAACGGCCCAGGCTGGCCCTCACTGTTGGCCTTTACCAGGTAGCCTGCCATGTCCGGAACCTTGGAGTAGATGTAGTTGGTGATGTTGGCCCACCACGCATCGACCCTGGGATCCAACGGGTCAAACGTCCCCAGAGTAGCATTTGGGGATGCAAAGTTGAGCGAAATGCCAATCTGTACTCCGTACGGCCTCATTGCATCCGCGATCCTGCCCATGCCCTCGACGTTGCGGTCGTTGAGCAAGGTCGCATTGGCATTGACGTTGTTGATGATGGCGCCGTTGATGCCGATCGACGCCAGCAGCCGGGCGTACTCGGCAATACGAGTGGTGTTTTCGACGACGAAGCCGTTCTTGAAGAAGAGCGATGGACCCGCATAGCCTCGCTCGATGCTGCCATCCATGTTGTCCCATTCGTTGGTCCATCGGATTGGCACTTGAGGGTTGTGAATCTTTGACCCGTACTTGACATCGTTTTGCGCAAGCTGGGAGAGGTACTCAAAGGCGCCGTACAAAGCACCGCGCTCGTTTTGCCCGACAATAACGACCTTGTCTCTGCTTGTCTCGAGGTAAAACCCATCCGCCTCCAGATTTCGGTCTTCACGAAAACCGCCATAGGCCTTTTTGTAAGCGTCTGCCGTCCCCACGATGATGGCCGAGCGGCTACGGCCCGCAGTACTGCTCACTTTGAGCTGCTTGCCAAAAATACCACTCACGCCCTTCTGGAGCTCCTGGCCAGCCGTATAGACGGGGCTGGTTTTTGTGCTGTTCAGTGCGATAATTGTCGGCGGAACCGACTGTGCACATGGCCCATCGGGAATGCGGGCATAGCGTAGCCAACCCTGGGAGCCATCTTCGGCAATGGCCCCGCCAACAGCACAAAGGAAAACGGTGAAGAACGACAGCCGCATGGTCGGCATTCAAGTTGGGCGCATGGAGAGAGAGACAGGACCCGCTCAGACATTCTTGGCCTCGGCAGCCATACCAAACACCTTTATACCCACGCCTCGCTCGCTCTCGCTGTCGTCTCCAGCAAACTAAGACGTCATCGGCTCCCATTTCCACAAGTCACATGTCGCGATGTCTACAACCGAGAAGCGCAACATGGCACCGTAGTCGCACGCAAAGAGCCGTATTTCAGGCTAAAAAGCTGGGGTTTCTACTTCCCCCATCCCAACTACTTCCGAGTTTGTTAAAGCGTGCGGAGGTGCACATGGCCCGCGACTCAAGCTTCCCTGTGCGGGTGCGTGGAATGTGGGGGGCGGCGAACAGCAACATCAAAACCGGGGAAACGATCTGCAGTAGTTGGAACAAGAAAATACCACCCCGTTTTTTTTGGGGTGGGCTTGCAGCTTGCAGCTCCCAAGCTTCCTCCCCAACTTAAGTAGCACCGCCAGTATGCATCGTCTGCATAACCACAGATATTCCTGCCCTCCCTCTTTCTCTTCACAAAAAAAACCAAAACCTGCATCGTGTGCCGGAGAAATCCCACTATCTATCCGTATACCTCAGAAACTTCTTCGGCGCTATGACTAGCCTGAGACGTGAGGTGACGGGATAAATCCCCCTCTCTCACTCACTCATTTACTTACTTAGTCACTTACTCGCTAGCTCTCGCCCTGCGGTGCCTATTTTAGTCGCGGAAACAAAGCACCAGTTTAATAATTCCCATCACCAATCGTCACGCGGCGTAGACTAGTCTAGCACTAAATGGGTGCTAGCGCTGTCTACCTTAGCCTATGTGTATGTACACATGTCGTGGTGCTGGGGCCCCGCTGTATCCCCGCTACTGCGACTGCGTGTCTACGGGAGAGTATTGTCCCGCCTTTCAATCCAAAAGGAAGGTTTGCTGTGCGCGCCCGGTTGTCCGGCTTCTGGGCGCACATGGAGGTATGAGTGGGACTATGCGGGCGGGCGGCGGCGGCGGCGGGCATTGCTGGGTGCCCACGTGGTGAAGGTGCGGTGAGGGTGGGTGTGTAACTGTGGAGTATAAAAGTGAAGGGTTTTGCGCGCGCGGAGGAGAGTAAAGGCAGGGTGTGGTGTGGTGTGATGAGGAGGTTGTGTGCGGTTAGAGTAGTGGTGATTAGGTAAGGCGGGTGCTTCTTGGTCGCTTACTGACTGGTAAAGTTTACTTGTAGCGCGGTTTCGCAATAGGTTGGTAGACGGTTGTGGCGGATGCTTGTTCACTTACAAGCCTTGTAGACAGGCGTAGGCAAATACTCACTCAGTCTTCGCTCATCGACGCTGCTGGCTTTACGTCAGTCTCTCTGGCCTCATGGCTTCACTGGTGATGGCCAGCTTCACCTCACTACGTTATTATCATCACTGCTTTCAAGTGCGCGGGTTTGCAGACTTTTCAAAATGGGAAAACTCATATCTCACTGCTTGGGCTGACTATGCCTTTTCTACTTTGCGCCATCTTGATAACAGCTTGATTTCTGATCACTAACATATAATCAACTAATAACAACGAAAAGCTCACAGACGAACAACGTAAGTCTCGGTTATCACCCTCCTCCTAATTCTTTTGAAAGACAGTTGCAATAACTTATTGATGTAAGAAGTACTTACCTCTATAAGGTTATAAAGCTTCAAAGGCGAATTCCAGATCTCAACATGGACACACCTACTCCTCAACCAACTAGCGATGCGAAACGCGACGAAACGGTGCTTTGGACAAAAGATGCCATCCTAGAGAAAGCCAAAATTGACATGCCCGACTATGTTTCTACACTGACAGTCAACCATGCTCTGGAGTTTGAAGAACATGTCATCGTTGGCAAAAGCCATACCAAATTCGACCTGCCAAAGACTGCATTGACTGATATGTTACTGGTTGGCTTCTACGAAGGATATGGTATGGATCAAAGGCTTCCAGTTTATGCTTTTGTTTATGAAGTGAAAAGAAACCAAGTTGGTTACACAACTCTGAAAAATGATGCCAATCACATCCGGTTGAGATTTGACTATATGTCAGATATCAATTTCTGGAAGCCTCTATGCAACATTGGAGAAGTACTAAAGAAGTTTGCACCTGTTGTTAGTGCATTACGTGCATTTATACTTTGTCAGTTCGTGCTCGCTGGCTACCTCAGGAACATATGTGGTTACACCTCGTTCTGGTCAGAGCTGGAGAGCGCATGCAAGGCAATCAGCGACTCAAGACCCGCTCAATCGAAAACACCTCAGTCTTCCGCTCCCAGGCTTGGAAAGAATCCCGCAACTTTCTCTGCGCCTGGTAAGGATGGTAGCTCTACTGCTGCTACAAGTAGATGTCAGGAGACGGCAGTGTCGCAACCACAGCCAAATTCTGCACAGAGCACCGAAAATTCTAGGAAAAGGAAGCACGATGAGGTTGAGAACTCTAACTCTTGTAAGTCGCCCAAAGAAAACACACGTCCTCCCTACTGCTGACCTAGCAAAGCCGAAATCCGGCGCCGCGACTACAGCGTTCCAGTAAGTATACCAAACCTGTCCTCAACACATAAGCTAACTTCACTCACAAGCTGGGACGACAGTCAAAGACCATTCCCGCACCCAACCCACCCCCTCCTGCGCCACCCCTCTCACCACCAAACTCTCAACCCCCCACCGTCACGAACAAGGACATTGTCGAGCCGCAAGAGCAAAGCCATGTACTTGAACAGCAAACTCCCCCAGGCTCCCACGAGACCACATGCCCAACTACATTCGAGCGTCCACAGCAAAGCCACAGCCAGCATCAACAAGACACTTTTCAGGCCCCACAGCAAAACAAATCCCTCCACCAACAAACTGTATATGCAGCAAGTGAGATGCCGCAACTCCAGCGCCAACAAAACACTGCCTACTCTACCACCTTCCAGCCCCTTCAGCAAGGCCACTCCTACCATCAGCAGCAAAACAACTACCCTGCTCAACAATCTACGTACACAGCAGCCGACGTGCAGCGACTCCGGCACCAGCACCAGCTTGCATTCCAGAACCTGCTGGAGCAGAATGGAAGATTGATAATGCAACATGCACAAGCCGTTGCAAACATGCAAGAAGCGCAACATTCGGCACGAATTTGGAAAGAGAAGCATGCTGAGATGCAGAACAGAATTGGGGTTTTGGAAGCGGAATTGAACAAGTCGAAGAAGTAGAGTGATTGAGGATAAGTCATGGAGTGAAGCAAAGGAAAGGTGGGACTGTGAGACGCAGATATGGAACTGAAGACGGGTGTAGGCTGTACGGATGAAAGAGTCACAGATATGCGGATGGTAAAGGTTAATGTAGAGAAATGATTGGGGATTTCAGTTACCGTGGATTTGTGGATGGGACTTCAGGTACGGAATCCTAGTTTTGGTATTCATGTAGCCCGTACGTGGCGCGGGTTTGGAAGCGAAATTGGTGCTTCTGAAATATGATGGCTGGGAAAGAAGACTAGAAGTCAAAACGGGTTTGCTTGTAAAGGCAAGCATACCACTCACTTGCTTGCTGGTGGAAAGGGACTTACTCATCTCGTTTCACTCTTGCTTCCGGGATCTACATCAACAGTTTATGTATGAAATTTTAGCAGGTTATTACATGCTTTTTCGAAATGTCTAGGTTGATTTCAACAAACGGCTCCAAGTATACTCCGGCAAGATCTAAGATAAGCTTCTCTGCATGAATTCTGTCTTACCGACATCTATACGACAACAGCTTGATATTTATAATCCATTTTATTGTAAATCTGATGCCTGGAGTCAGAATTCGTGTCCGGTATTCGGGAACGGGAGGCGGAAATATGCGGCGGTGTATGGATGTTACGATGGCCACTTCGGGCCTAGACACTGTGTAAAGAGTCCGTTTATTGCTTCTTATAGATGCAGAGCTAGCCATGCTCAGGCCTTACGTTCTCGACTTAGGTGTACGGCGACGGATACAAGTAACTCGAGACACGTGACCATCGTCGTGAGAATGTCGTCACCCACAGCCACTTGTATGGTTTCGTGCCGTGCCGTACCGCTGACTTAGACTGGCTAAATTGACTACGCAGCTCGTGTTGTCAAAATTGGGGTCAAGAACCGAGGAGGTCAATACCAAGTCTCGTGCCGCTGTTCCCCCGGGCTTGGCGCTGGCGTGGCCGTGCTGACTACAGTGCCCGTGCACCAGATGAGCACCATCGCCAGTTGAGCACCCCTAACAACTCAATATAGTCAACAAGATGAGGCTGTAGAGCCACCACAAATCGTAATAAAATTGCGCAAAGCTAGGATTATACTATATACAGGCCTACGAAAGTTTTGGCTTATTTAGAAATTTTTTTGGAGGGCGTTATCGGTCGTTGCCGTCGACTACGCGGTGGAGCAGCTCGTGCAACCCTTGCGGCTCCCACCACAGCTGGAGCAACACCACCACACTTTTGACGCTTTGTAGCTGGCTTATGAGGTTTTGACGCTTTGCGCTTACCCGATTGGGGCAATTGTATAGCTTTGGCAGCGTCGCGGAGGCTTCTACGATGCTCTCTTTTGGCTTTCTCTGCAGCCTTCCGCTTTCTGGTCTCCTCCCAACCCTTCTCCCGCTCAACACGGGCTGCTTTTTGAAGTTGAAGCTGGCAATCGCGAGCTGCCTTCTTGATCTTGGCTTGCTCGGCTTTTTGAAGCTTTTTAAGCTTGGCTTGTTGTTGTTGTTGTATCTTGTTATCCTGAACTCGTTTGACGCTTGTTGGTGACCACCAAACAGCTCCACCATGATACTCAGGATGATCCTCAAGCTGTAGGGTATAGGATTTGGTTTCCCGCCTCTTCTTGATGGCTAGGGACTGCCTGAGGCCTTGAG